TCTAGCTAGAAATGTGGTGGGCCATGAGATTAAATCAATTAAGGTCCACATGGTGGGCCGGGAGACTAAGTCAAGGCCTACCATTCCGAGCCCGGAGGCAGGCTCCAAGTCCGGGGCCCTTCTTGAGTTGCTCCGATTATCTTCTTAGGCCTCGGGCTATGCACTCCCAGGCCCCGAGTTCCTATTATTGAATCGTTTCCAATATTTCTATCAGTATGTTTTAACTTAGCTTTATAAATGTTGGTCCAAGGTCAGTAAAAATCTAGAGAGGGGATTGAATAGAGTTTTTAAAACTTTTGGAAAGAATTCCCAAAAAAAAAAAAAAAGAAAAAAAACAAAAAAACAAAAAAAAAAAACAAAACAAAACAAAAAAACAAAAAACAAAAAACAAAAAAAAAACAAAAAACTTTTTGAAAAGCAAATTTATCAAGAGTTTTGCACAGCAGAAGATTTTAGTTTGCTAGAAAGTATGTGAATTCATATATATATACACGCACACACACACGGTATGTATTTAAATATACGGTATTTATTTATATATATTTACAATATGTATTTATATATATTTACATGCTATACACACACACATATATATAAACATTCAAACTTGTCCACAATGCTTAATGAGTGCTATTAACAAAAGGATTTCTTTATCAAAAATATCAAATAATTAAAATGTTGAAGTATACAATTTTTACCATTTTCCTACTCATTTTCTGAAAAATGAACCAAACACAAAAAGACAATTTTCAGTTGTGTAGCCAAACATAAAAAATTAAAATATTTTCTGAAAAATGACTCATTTCCCGAAAAACATTTTTCAGAAGTCATTTTCCGAGTTTCCAAACGCACCCTTAATTAATCCTAGATAGACCAAGTAAACACATACATCATTCAGAAACTAGATTGAGCCCGCACGGGTAGCTCAATTAATTTTTGGTGGAAAATTGTGGGCAAAGACGCAGGATTAAGCTCGGGTAGTCACAGTGTTGGAGTTTCACCATTCTTGTGGGGGTGGCTCCTTGTGCACACGAAATACACTTATCCTCTCACCTAATGGGTCATTTGGACAATAATAAATTTTGCATTTTGTAAGCAAGCTAAGAAATTTAAAATTTAAAATTTAAAAATTAAAAATTCTAATAACGTAACGTCTAAGAAACCAATAAAATGTAGTTGATTAATCAGCATTCAGCCAAGGAAAGAAACAGTAATTGCAGATGGAGAGACATATAATTTTATTTTTGCTGCTCATTAATTGAAGGGCACAATGAAAGAGACTGGTCGCAAGTAGTAATTAATGGATAACTTATGGATTTCAACCCTTCACGACCTTATCTATACTCACTACAGTCTAGTATTGTTTGTTAAGCTTTGTTGAAAACCAAACAAAATATCTAAATTTCTTCCAAAATATCTAAATTTCTTTATATCCATATTCAATTTTATATTTAGTGACTTCCCCACTAAATGTTGTGTTTATCTTCTTTCCAAATTGCATTTCACGTGAATTGTTTTGTATTTTCTAGTTATCATTTTTTTTTTGATTATTTAAAATTTTTTTTAAAAAAATTCACTATCACAATTACATAAAAAAAAAAAAAAAAGTAGTTAACAAACACTAGATTTTGCTTTAAATATATTAGAGATTGGTATTTTAAAAGTATTAATTTTGATTTAAAACTGATAAAATTTAACAAGATTTTCTCACATAAAACTGCCATCTGTGGGGTAAGGAATGATATTTAATTCTACTTCATATTTTATTATTTCAGTTTGTATCACCAGCGTGACATCATCACTGAAGCTTCGGCATGCGTCAGGCTTACCAATTGGTATATGCATCTAAAAAATAATAATCTTTGATTTTTTTTTTTTTTTGTGAATTACTCATAATTTTTTTAATTTAGAAAGTAATATTTGTTGTATACTTTCGTATTTTCACACACACATATGAGTTTTTTTTGGAGTAACTAATTTGTGTTTGAGTCATTTACAAGTGATCAATCAAGATTATATATATATATATATATATATATATATATATATATATATATAAATTTGTGTGTAAAATTTTGTTTTATTATTATTATTATTATTATTATTATTATTATTGAATACTACAGACTCTATTACAATATAGTATATGTTTATACATTTTTTTTTTGAATCTGTGACCTTTTAGGTGGGAGAGCCACAACTATGCCGCTTGATCATCATCAGGGCATCCCCATTAGCATATTTTGGATGGATTTTAGAACAGTGAAAAGTTAGGGGCAAGGTTTTTAACAAATGGGATGTCAAAATTTGAAGAAGTTCTTTCTCCTGCAAAACTAGAAATTTTGCAGGAGAAAGGACAAAAAAGAAAAAGGATGTCAGCGCAGTTTGCGGCTTTGCACGGACGCTTGAAACTTGAGAATTTTTTTTTTCTCCCCTTTTTAAGCTGGCCGTTGGCCACTGATTTCATACCTTCTTTTTTTTTTTTTTTTTTTTTTTTTTTTTTTTTTTTTAAGATGGCCAGTTTATTTTTTTAAAAGTTCATTTGGTTGAATTTTGTTATTAAATTGATGTTCTTTTTTTTTTTAATCATTATAAAATCCGGCAACGTCAAGCTTTTTGTTTTTTGTTTTTTGTTTTTTTAATTTTTTAATTGAACTTTGTAACATTATTGCTTCTATTTTTTTAATTATTAATATAATGTTATTTAATTTTTTAAGATATTATTGTTATTAAATTTATATTTATTAATTGAATTAAAAATTTTAATTATCAATAATATTATTATTAATAATATTGTTATCAAATTTATCATTTTAATTTTTAAAATAATACTCCCTCCGTCCCGAATTGGTTGTCTCATTTACTTTTTGCACGCTTTTTAAGGAATTAAAGTAAATGTTATGTATTTTCCAATTATGCCCTTCACTTTTTCACTTTTGGGAATAAAAGCAAAAGTCATAAGGGTAATTTGGGAAAAAGTAGAATGATGGTGATGTTCAATTTTGGAAAGAGGACAACATTTTGGGACAAACTAAAAAGGAAAGTAAGACATGCAAAATGGGACAGAGGGAGTAATAGATAAAGAAATAATACAAATATATGGTATAAAATGGTGGGTCCACAAAAAGTTTGTGAAAAACTTGAAACTAATGGGAAGAAGAGATTTTGTAATTGAGTGAGATAGTGGATGATGAGGTGGATGATAGGGCCCACAAAAATCTGGGAAAAAATCCCCAACTATTGAGGATGCCCTCATCATCATTATTATTATTATTATTATTATTATTATTATTATTATTATTATTATTATTATTATTTCACAAATTCTAATCTTTCTTATCGAAGACTTTTGGAAATATTTTACTTTTTATTAATTTAATCTGATCTCTATATTACTTTTAGAGGTACGCAACAATAAATTTCAGCTAATTTTGTTGTTGTTAATAATTGTGAAATTTTGTTAACATAATTGTAATTGAACGATAACCAATTGGAGTAACTAACATTTTGTTAATTTTATAACCCACCATTATTTTAAACGCCTATTGAATTTTTAATTAAAATATATAGCTATATCTATTCAAAAAAATGAATAACTTAAATTTTGTAACTTCTTAACTGATGAATAACTTAAAAGATCGGAAAATGTTATTCTCTTTCTAAAAATTTTCCGAAATATTTTCTCCTATGATGTAGTTTATAATTATTGAATTGGGTGCGTATGAATTAATTGGGTGATCCTACCATTAGTTAAAGAGGAGTTAATTGCACAATTAGAAAATATCATGTAAAGAAAAAAGTACTAGAGTAGAAAATTTCAAGAGGTAGGTACTCTAACTTAAAATACCCATTATTGAATTTAAATTCAATTATTTGCTATTCTCTCTCTAAAGGTTGAATAAGGTCCCCCACACAACATTTGAGAGGATGTAAATTACGATGATTCAATGGCTCAACAGATATGACTCGAGTAATCTCCACACTGCTGTCGTTGAGGTTCGAACCTTGGTCTCTTCTTTCAAATACTGAATACTGAACCATTGAGCTAAGCCCGTGCAATCTAAATTCAGTTACTCCTTTTGTCTCATTTTACCTATCTTTCTTTTTTAGTTTGTCCCAAAATAGTGTCATTTTTCTAAAATTGAACATAACTATCACTCTACATTTCCCAATTTACCCTTTTGACTTTTCAAATTTCTAGAGGTAAGTACAATTGTACTTTGTACAAATAATAACATATACTTTTGAGGGACAAAATTGAAAAGTTAGTAACATTTGTTATGTTGTATTGAAAATGATGCAAAAAATAAATGAGACACTCAATTAGGGACGGAGAGAGTATTTTTTATCAGTTGATTGGTGGATTTTGTTTTCTCAACCCAAGGCTGAAATTATCGTATATTTTAAAATTGGAATAAGGTTCAAATTGGCCACTGAACGTAACCTGAAAATGAAATTAGGTCACTGAACGTAATCTGAAAATGCAATTAGGTCACTGAACACTTCAAATGTATGTAATTTCACCTGATAGTAGGTTACCATCAATTTTAGCATGTTACCTGCTTACGTGGCAGTTGAGTTGGCATTTTAAATAATTTTTAATAATAATTTAAAAAAAAAAAACCGACGGGGTGGCCACCGGCAGTCGTTTTATTTTTATTTTTATTTTTTAAATTTTTTTCTATTTTTAAAAAAATTATTAAAAATATCAACTCATCTGCCACGTAAGGAGGTAACCTGTTAAAATTGATGGTAACCTGATATTCGGTGAAATTGCGTATTTGCATACATTTGGAGTATTCAGTGGTCTAATTGCACATTTTTAGAGTGTTTAGTAGGCTAATTGCACTTTTTTGATTCAGGCCTAATTAAATTTTCAAATACATTCATTGTTCAATTTGAACATTATTCCTTTAAAATTTAAAGATTCCATAGGAAGAAAGAAGAAATTTACAGGTAATATTGAAATAAAATTCCACACGTAATCATTTATTTATTTATTGTCTTGTAAACTTGCATACTCATCCTTCATTTAATCATTTTCTCGTCTTCCTTTTCTTTATTGTTCTCTCACTCTCATCTCGCCGGCCGCCGGCCTGTTTCCTCCGACCTAACAACCTTAAAAACACTAATCCAAAGATGCCCATGGAGCGTTCATTCTCGTCGTCGAGCAGTTCGAACTCTTCTTTCTCCGGCTCCAAACGAGGCTCCTCCGCCGCCGTTCTCTCCATACAGTGCCTGAAAGGCAGCTCCAAAGGCGACGAATGGACCGGCGACGCGTTACAGACCGGCGATATCGTGGAGGAGCTCAGAATCGGGAACATGATCGTCAAGGCGCCGTTCAAGAACGGGAAATCCGGCCTGCAGAAGCTCCTCCACGATTCGTTCAAACTCAAGAATACTTCCGTCCACGTCCGCGTCCGGCGCGGCGCCGACGACGGCGAGTTTGCCGAGCTGCAGGCCTGCCTCGTTCCCAACGCCGCCGCCGGCCGGAAACAGTACATGCTTAGGTCCATCGACGATCCCAACTACGCCGTCGGGTTCGCCGATCGGAGCGAGACCGAGTGCTTGGATTTGCAAGGTGGGTTTTATTATTATTATTATTTTTTTTCCGGTGGTTTAATTTTCGCGTTGACCTTTCTTTAAATATTGCTTCCGTGGATGTTGACTACTTTGTTGTTTAACGTTTTCCTGTGGGTGTTGGGCATTTAATTATTGAAATTTAATGCATAATTGCGTATAAAATCATTAACTCCTTTAGGATATAGAAGCAGTAATTACGGAGCATTTTCCTAGGTATACATTTAAATATTTTTAATTTCTCAATTATTATTAATAAGGTAGGTTTATTTTACCCGCACGAGTTTAGCTCAATGATTCAGTAAACAGTATTTGAGAGAAGAGACTAATGATCGAACCTCGACGATAACAGAGTAGAGATTGTTCTTAAAATGGATATCATTCCAAATGCTCTGTCAAGCCAGAGTGTGAGGATTCTTGGGTTGGAGATTCAACCGGTAGGGAGAAGGTAGGTTTAATTTCTCAAGAATTAAATGTGTAAGTGTGAATGCAGATTTGGTTCAGGTAATATTCAAATTTTTTTTTTTTGAAATTCATTGAATCAAATAATAATTCAGATATATTTGGTTCAGTGACATTATTTTGCTTTATATTTCAGGTTAGTTCGGATATATTGATTTTTTTTTTTTTCATTGTTCGATTTTAACTTTTTATATATATTTAATTAATCTAGTATTAATATTTGAACCCATAATTGTTCATATTCATTAGAAGATGCACTAAATCTACACTATAATTATAAACGTTGGATTAAAAGTTTTATTTTCTTGATAAAATTTAAGAATAGAATATATGTTGCTTTCTTACACGATGTTGTTGGCACAATGTATATATACATGTATAGACATGATTACATGAATTCATACTTTTGTCATTTTTTTTCGAAAAAAAAAAACCAGTTGCTACTATTTAAAGATGATAATTAAATAAATTTTGCTCTGACTTTTGTAATAGTTCATAAACTACATATACATGAGAGGTAATTAAATCACACTAATACATACTTTAGTATGGGTTAATAAATAAAATGATGCATAGAATTATAAATGAAAAAAAATGTAAATAATTTGATATACTTAATTCTTTTTGGAGCGTAATGTTGACAAATTACTTAAATTCAAGAATTTCTAGAAGTATTTGATTACCTAAACAATAAAAGTGGAATATGTCACAATTTGGTTCCGAGTTGTTGGCATCTTGGAGTGTGGTTTCATATTCAGTACTTGCTTGCCGACATGGCGAGATTCCTTCCAGATACTTTCTGACTTTTCTTTTTAAGGATAAGCACAAGTTACACCTAGACTTACACTTGTATAATTTAATGACTTAGCAGATATAATCAAATATTGATGTGCACAATAAATATACCTAATTTTCGTCGAATACTATCTATTAAACTAGTAAGTTAAATCTGTGCATATAACTTTTTGACTACTCATTTTTTGTCGAACTTCAAACTTTAGTCTCTTTTCTCAAATACTGTCTATTGAACTAGTGAGCTAAATATGTGCGGACGACTTTTTAACTTTTTCTTTTATAAGGAAAAGGACAAGTTACAGCTACACTTAGACCTCCCTAGTCCATACTAGAGGTTACACCTAGACTTATACTGGTTATTAATGCATTATGTGCTGATCTTGATCATATTTATTGCATAGGATATGTGTTCAGGAAATATGACTAATTGGTGGATCGGTCGATCCTTTTTTAGATCTTTTAATTTGACCAATTGTTGACATTGAAATTTTAATAAATATATTTGAAATATTTTGGATAATATTAATTTGTTAATCAGATAATATCAAAAGAGTTTGAACATATCAAAATTCTTTTATCCTACCGCTATAAATAAGAGCTTTTATTTCTTTGTATTGATCCTAGGAAATAATAAACATTCTTAAAATATTATTCAGAGATCACAATAAAAATGTGATCCTGAAAGTAAAAGCCCCTCATACAATCATTGATGGAAGAACAAACTCTAGATCAAGCCACTTGAATTTCGGAGGCCGTTCAGTGGTGGAGTGTTCAAGGGCATCAAATTGAAGAATCAGATGAGCTCTCATTTTTATGTAATCACACATCCTAAGAAAAATCATAGAAAGAACTCTGAAGCTTATTCAGATATCACAATAAAAATGTGATCCTGAAAGTAAAAGCCCCTCCTCCTCCATATGTTGATGCATGTTGATCCAAACCTCTATTGAAGATCAAGCCATTTGAACCCGGAGACCCTTCAAGAAGAACAAGCTATATATACAAGCCCTTCAAGTAAAAGCCCCTCCTCCTCCATATATATGTTGATGCATGTTGATCCAAACCTCTATTGAAGATCAAGCCATTTGAACCTGGAGGCCCTTCAAGAATAACAAGCTATATATACAAGTCCTTCTTTGAAGATCAAGCCACTTGAGGCCCTTCAGTGGTGGTCAGTGGTGGAGTGTTCAAGGAATCCAATTGAATAATCATAGGACCATAAGACCATTGGACCATTCAGAGACTTGTACCCACACCGCATTGTCGCATTGATACTTGATATGTAACTTGAATTTTGAATTTGTAAATATAATTCAATTAATTTGTGATCAAAGAAAATTGAATAAAATAATTCTAGTTACAACGAGTATTAATGCGGTGTGTGTATAAGTCTCTGGATGGTCCTCTGATTCTTCAAGCGGATGCCTTGGACACTCCGCCATTATATTGATGGGCCTTCATAATTTAAGTGGCTTGATCTTCAAAGAAGGGCTTAATATATAGCTTATTCTTTTTGAAGGGCCTCCGGGTTCAAATGACTTGATCTTCCATGCAGATTTGGATCAACATGCATGATTGGATTGGAGGAAGGGCTTTTACTTTCAAGATCACATTTTTATTGTGATCCCTGAATAAGCTTCAAAGCTTCGGACGTTTCTATAAATTTTTCCTAGAGTGAATATATAGAGATAAGAGCTCCTATTTATAGTGGTGGGATAGAAGAGTTTGAGTGTGGGGGCCCTTAAGATTGGAGATTCAGCCTTTTCGAGTAAGGATAGAAGAGTTTTGATAAGTTTAAACTCTTTTGATATTGTCTAATCAATAAATTAGATAATATCAATATTATCCACATTCAAAAAAAAGATAATATCAATATTATCCAAAATATTTCAAATATACTAATATTAAAAACTAATCCATATTTATCAAAATTCCAATGTCAACACCAATATATATTAAAAAATAAATAGTGTGAATAAGATATTCACAAAACAATAATATATGTGCATGCATGCAATATAATGCAGCTTCAAGGGCGTCAAGAATGATGGATGCATTAACAAAAACTCCCCTTCAATATGGGTTCGTGTCGTATCCATGGCAGAGAAAAATGGCGGAGATGCTACCAGTACCCAACTCCAGCAGCTTTTATTCCATTCTCCTCCTCCCCAAAACCTCCGGCGACGACCAACCCGCCGCCGCTCTCCGATACAACGATCTCGAAGACACCCTTGCCAGAGCCAATGCCTGGCTTAATGCCTCTCAAGCCTCCGGCGTTCCCATCGTCTTCATGAACATCCAGACTGAATCCCTACTCACTAAGGTATGTATGTAATAATTTCTATCTATCTATCTGGGCCGCCTAATATACAAAAGACTTGCTGATATGTTTTAATTAGGGTTTGTATCTGCATTTCTGCATTTGTGTAGATATCTGGGAGAATGGCTTCTTGTAGTGTAAATGCCGGCTCGCTCTCTGATTTATCAAATCTTACCAATGCAAGCTTGTACGGGTTTGAAGATTACCATGGCGTGGATCTTGGTGTTGTACGAGCAGTTCGACTCTGGTTTTCCCCTCTTGGTGGAGAAATTCCTGTTGAAATCAAAATCAAAGAAGATGATACCAAACTTGGTTTTGCCATCAGTAGAACAGAAGAGGTTAGTTCGTGACATTATAAATTCATGGGATCATAGAGAAGTCAATTAGGTTTCTAAACTTTTAAAATTAAAATTGTAATTAAGGATATCAGATCAATATGTCAATTTAGTGCATTGAAATCAAAAGTTAATTAGTGACTTATAATAGTAGGTCGTTAAGGCATTCTGGCTACCTCTGGGAAAATTGACACCGGGGATTGTTGGCCTTAGCTTCTCATATTATTTGGAGAAGGCGACAACTGGTTTCCATCTCTAGTCGCGGGAGAAGGCGACCAATTGGTCACCTTCTTTGGCGACTACTAGAGATGGTGATCGGTGATCTTTCATCTGTTGGCAGCCGCTGATTTTTTTCTAGAAGTATATTATTAATTGATTTTTGGGTTTTAGTGCACTAAATTGACATATTGATGTGCTTAATTGGAACTTTTAAAATTTTGGGGACCTGATTGACTTATCATATAAAGTTGGGGACCTGATTGACTTATCATATAAAGTTGGGGACCTGATTGACTTATCATATAAAGTTTCGGAGTATTTTTTTTTTTGAATGCTACTAGCTCTATTAGAATGTAGTATCTATTCATATACTTTCTCAAAGTACTGAAACACAAAGAGCCACGCCTCCACTGAGGCTCGAAATCACAATCTTCCAAATGGAAGTCCAACCCGGATACCATTAGACCACATAGTCCTGGTAAAGTTTCGGAGTATATTTGACCATTTCTCTTACATTCATTTCTTTTCTTATAAGTTTTTTTTTTTTTTTTTTTTTTTTTTTTTTGGGAAAGATTCTTATAAGTTTTTTAATGTAAGAGTCTTAACAAATTATGATTTTATTTTTTTGAACTTGCATGCATGCAGGGATTTATCTACATATCATCGGTGATGGGAGCGGATGAAAATGCTCCATCTGAGGAATCTGGTCTCAGGCACCTGTACATGGAAGCAACGAAGCAGAACAAGCTTCTAGTAATTTCCAGAATCTCCCACCAGAAAGTGCTTCCATGGATGGTTTCTCCGGCGGGCGGCGTGAGATGCTACGACACGGTTTCCGTCAGCCAGAAGCTGTCTTTGCACCGCCACGCCAAGGTGCCTATCCTCATTCACGTTTTCCTGTGGGACCGCACAGTAAACGTTCCTAACTGTGGGAGTAATAGGTATCGGGTGTTTTCGCCGACGGTAATGCCGCCGGCGCCGGAAGTTGGTTTGGCGCGCGAGAATCAGGTGATGCCTTTGAATCCTGAGGATGAGGTTGGAGATGAAGAGAGTAGTGATGGGAGTGAGATTAGTCGGCTTGAGAGGGATACTGCAGGGGAATTCTCCTTTAGACACCATAATTTTGCATTTCCAAATAATTGGGTCTAAGTTTTTTTCTTTTTTTCCTTTTTTTTTTTTTTTGGGGAGAGGGGGCGGGGGGGGGGGGTGGTAGTATGTAAAAATTAAAATAAAATATATAGAGCAATGTTATTCAAGTGTCTTCATAACTAGATGGTAGCAACTTGTTTTATTCCCCCAACAAATAGTGCAAGATGTTCTTGACTATTTATGACTTTTGTTTAGAAGAAAGAGGGACACACCCCGTACTCAGAGACTAATCAAACTAGTTGTCTTCAAGGACACAACTTCGCGCTCTAGGGATACTCATCTTATCATTGAGGAGGGCACTCTGAATCAACCGCGGAGGGGACCTCAACACACTAGGATTATGACTTCTCATGCATTGTTAACTCAAATCGCGCTATATATAAAATAATTAATAATTAATATAGTATAGTGAAATAGTTGGACTAAATTATTAGGTGCATTATAAAAATAAGATCAAACTTAATGAGAACATTGTGATACTCTACTAATTTAACGTTTAAAAATTTGTGGGTTTATGCCCCATCATATTTTAATTTACAATTTGGATTGCATGTGCTGGCTGGTTCAATTCACCCATTTGATGGGTTACACTTGTTTCTAAGTACAGATGGTGTTGGAATAGCTTGATTACGATTTGTATAAAACGATTATTTTAGTTTTCATTTGTACCTGACATTTAAAAGAAATACACACAATAGTAAGTCTATGCAGAAAAAATGGTAGAAAAGTGACCAATGACTACAATCCTACATAACAATTAAAGAAATTTTGGGATCATTAAAATAATTTCTATCATTTATATATAGAAATATAAGTGGTTGTATATTAATTAATTGTAAGAACATTTTGGACCATTAACTCATGATCATGGAAACCTTAAAACAAAGTGTAATCAATTAAGTTGTGGATATATAAGAGATCAGAGAAAGATGGAGCTTATCTGATCCTAATGTTCTGATGCATGCATGCCAAACTATAATTGACATTTACCTTGCAAAACCAGGTTGTTGGAATAATTGGTGTGGGTTGACTATTGGAACTTCATTTCTTCATGTGACTAATGACGCAGTCCTTCCTTGTCGTGCCATAAAAAAAAATGTTATTCTTAAGATAATATTGTCTAGTCAATTTTTTATGTATATAATCATTACCATTCCATTACTCTACTTGATAATTAATCCGTATGTATATATACCCATCATTAAGTGTTTGGGAAGAAAATACATCATTAAGGAGTGTTGACTTCTCATGGTAATTAAGTAGTTTTTTTTTTTTTTTTTTTTTTTTTTTTTTACGAAGAAATCCATAGCCATTGGTGGAGGGCCTCGAGGCTAAGTGTACATACACAGGATAAATTCAATTTCTATGTAACAATTTGTAAATTATACAGAAAAGATATATAACTCGCATTCAAATGACTATGTGCCATAAACTCAACAGAAGATGTTGGCAAGAAGTAATTAAGTAATTCTTATATCTAAAATTAGAAATATATATTAAAATATACAACTTCTTTTGTTCGGGTATTTAGTAAATTATGAATTCATTAATTTTTAACGAATTTATGTGTCACCAATTCTTTAAAATAAGTGCTTGGTAACAAGCGAATTGTATAAATGAATTAGAACCAAAACACTAAATATATTACTCTTTGAGTTAAAATTGCATTTACAATGATAATGTATCATCACCATTCCATTTAATTGGTATGTATACCCATCATTAAGTTTTTGGGAAGAAAAGATATCATTAAGGATTGTTGACTTCTCATGGTAGTTAAGTAGTGCTTATATATGCAATTAGAGATGATGCACATTAGCATATGTAACTTCTTTTATACACAAAATAAAATATTTAAACGTTTTTTTATAAGATGCATGTTAAGAATTTTTATTTAACAACGCATTTTTTTAAAGAGAAATTCTTTAAATTGAAACTATTATACTTCTTAAAAAAAAAAAAAAAAGCTATACCTTATATAAATATTTTTTGTTAAATAAGTTTGGATCCTAAATTTAAAGGCACCTCACTTCTCATGTACTTTTATGGTTGCTAGCAAAGCGAAGCTTATAAACTTATTTTAGGTTAGTTGACCATTTGAGTCTGTGTCGTTTTTGTGTGTGTGTGTGTGTGTTTTTTTTTTTTGTTTTTTTGTTTTTTTTTGTTTTTTTTGATATATACTATCTAAGAATACTTTTTTAAGACAACAAGTTTACCTTTAGAAAATTTAACTTTTACTCCTGAATTTTATTTATGTCACATTACATTCTTGACTTTCACTTATTTGCCACAATTAGTTCTTTTAAAATTTTGTTATTTCATGCCACCATTTAATAAATATGATTAACATGTAATTGCATTATTAAATTAAAAGAGTTTACACGATAGGGGAAGAAATTACATGTTGGGTGGAGGCCTAAATGGCCTAGTCTAGCATCATGTCACCTAAATGTGGCGCTAACTACCATACAAGTATAAGGTAATAAAGTTGTGTTGTCTTTGCTACTAGCTATGACTTTTGGCGCAACGGTAAACGTCTAAGCATAACAATTGGTATTAGAGCAATATAATTCACTACAAGAAATTTCACATTTAGTGACAACAGAAGTTGTCACCAAGACTACTGATTTTGGTTACTATTGAAATTAGTGACTAATTTTTGAAGTCGTCACCTGTTGTCACTATATCCTCTATCACTACTGTAGTAGTGATGACTTTTGAAAAGTTATCACAATTACTTAAGACTTTTGTGAGTATGTTTACGTACACTAAAAGTAGTATTTGAGTGATAACAGTATTTGAAACTTATAGGAGCAAGTAACCCATTCGTTGGCAACCACGACTTAACTCTGAACCTGACAAGGTTAGTTCAAAAACTAGTTCTAACAAAGAAGTAAAGAAATTCAAACATATAAAGCAAGAAATGTAACAGATCAACACGAGAGAATTTGATAACCCAGTTCGGAATATACGTTCCTAAATCTGGGAGACACCACAAGAAGGAATACTCATCTCTTCATTCATAACAGATCAGGTTCACAGTACAGTGTTATGAGCGAACTCCTCGAGCCTTAGGTAGACGTTGGCCAATCAGTAAGTCTCAAAGGATTCTTGAAGAGATGGTCTAAGATGCAGCACGCATCAGAAGTCGAGGCTCCTCTCAACTGTTACTCTCCCAAGTATTCTTGTGGATTCGGCCCGATATCATCAATCACCAGTTTCAACTTGAGAGCTCTTCCTTTTACTCAAGTTTGTCAATTTAACACCTTTACTAAATGTCTCACTCAGTTATACAGATCCTTTATTGGGAGAATGTATTAAAGCTCATCAAACTGAGTGGAGAAGACATATTGTCTTATATAGCCGTCCTTCACCGCGATCTTCAAATAACTGCCTTGATCTATATCCTGAACTACCAGGACCTTCTGAGTCTTCAGTCTTTAGCGAGATCTTCTGAACCAACCCATATGACTAGACCATACTCAACCCTTTATACTTACAAACTAAATCTAGCTTCAGAACAAGGTCCTGACTAAAACCAAAAACAACTTAGGAAGGATAGTATTTAAATGAGAACTTTTTATTCCAACAATATTGGTCACAATAAATGTACATTTTGTGACCGAATATGGTATTACAAAAAATTATATTGATCTAGTGGTAACTGGAATCGTTGCAATTAATTATTTTATTGTGACAACACTTTAGTCACAAACTCACAATAGTTGTACTTATTTGTGAGAATTGTATTTGACTCAAAAAAATGATTACCAGTGACCTAAAACAGTGGTCACATATAATTACTTTGTATTGACAACAATCATGATAACAAATGTTGTATTTATTTGTGACAAAAGAAATTAACTCTGAAACAATCATTAGTGTAAATTAAAGTCATAACAACAATTCAATTTCTTGTTGTCATCATCTTCGTTAATGATATCTTTAAAAATAGTGGCAGCGTATTTGTAACTAAAATACTAAAAATTAGTGGTAAAATTTGTGTCACTAAAATAAGTTAAAATAGTGTCACTATTGTCAATCTTAATATTTTTATAAGTGACTATTACTTGGTCACAGTTTTTTTTTTCTTCAAATAATACTACCCAAATGCATACAATATAAAATTATTTATTTCAAAGTCTTGTCATAATTGAATTTTTATGAATTACTTGACCTATCACGAGTTAAAAAATAAAGTTATATTTACTTATTAATTAAATATTTTAAATAATTCAATTAGATAATGTGGAAACAAGCCAACAAGATGGGAACTTTTAAGAGGGCCGTGTGAGTAATAACAAAATGTGAATATTTATAGTAAAATAATCTTTCCAAAAGTTGTAAAACCTAAACCCTAACCATAGTTCCAAAAAGAATCTTGATAATGCATAAAGTTGTGGCTATTGGTTAGGTTAGTTAAAGCTATGAGCAAAATATAAAGGGTCAGTTATAGCAATTATAGTGTTAGTTAAAACTGGTTTCAGTCAAAAAGAAAAAAAGAAAGATTGTTTGATCGAATTTAGGAATCTCTCCTTTCAAAAAGAAATGAAGAAAGAAACCCCAAAAAGCAGACAAGATCATTTTTGCGGATATTTTTTTTTGACAAGATCATTCTTGCAGATTTTATTTTTTATTTTTGGAAAAAATTAAATAATGTGAAAATTAAATGAGTTCATCCCTCTTTTGTAGGTGATGAAAAAATTCATAATTAGTACTTAAGGCTTGTACACCAAATAAATTTTATTCTTGTAAAAATTACAGAGTAAATGAATTCATCCATTCTTTTAGTTTCAGTCTAGAAGGTTTTAGCTTTAATTCCTTTTTTCAATTGTATTTTCTTATTTCACTGATAAAATCTTTAAAGACTTAATCTAACGAGATCGACAAGTGTATAATAGATTACTCTATAGTGTTTATGATCAAAACTCTTATATATCACTATTTTCTAAGAATGTTAACCTTAGACTAAAATCATAGGGTGAGTAAAATAAAACTAAAAATTTTAAGCACGAGGGTAAAAAAAAAA